AATGAATACCTATGCTCCTCACCCCTTTTACAGAGTGGTAGTCTTTGCATCTTACTTTTTTTTCAACAATATATCCTGGAGAAATGCTATATCAGTACCCACAAAGGCACATTGTTCTTTTTAATGGATGCATAATATTCAACTGTACAGATACATCATGTATTACTAAAATAATGTCCTACTAACATATCTTAGATTGTTTCCAATATTATGCTCCTATAACCAAATTTGCAATGATGATTTGGGTTTTATATTGTTTCATGAATATTGTGAATCATCTGTAGGATAAATTCCAAAAGTGGAATTGTTGGGTCAAAGACATGTCTCTTTTCCACACTGAAATCTGTTGTCCAATTATCCCCCCAAATGATCACATAAATTAGCAGTATATTAACAGTGGAAGAGTGCCTATTGTCTAATATCCTCCATGAAAAAGTCTGTTTATTAAACATTTTGGTCTTTGCAAATCTAAGTGAAAATGCAATCTCATTTTCATTCTAACTTGCATATTTTATTGTCAGGAAAGCTGGGTATCAGTTTGTCTTTAAAATCCACTTGTATTTCCTTTTCTAGGACCATTTGTCATGTCCTTGCCCATTTTTCTGTTAGGCTGTTGCCCTATTGATTGGTATAACCTCTTTGTATTTTTTGAAAGCAGACTGTTTTCTGCCATGTGTTGCATTTTTTTTCTAGTTTGTTATCTAATCTTTCATTTTGTTTATTTATTTATTTGCTTTCTTATATTTATATTTGACCAAGAACATTGAATCTTCACTCTTTTTCATCCTCAGGTATTTTGCTAATTATAAAATTTGTTCCTTCTTATTATTTCTAGATGGGAAAAGAGAAGGGACAAACCATTCATATAAGCAGTTAATAGACACATAAAAAGTTCAACTTCACAAATTAAAAAATACAAGTTAGATTTCATTTTTTTTACTCTAGCAAATTAGGAAAGATAATTAGAATAAAAAAATAGCATTGCTCTACTCTGTTGGCAGGAGGGCAAACTAGTTCAATACTTGGAAAAGCAAATTCTCAGCAAGTAAAAAAATTTTTTTTATTCATTAATGTCTTCTAGGAATTTGTCTTATGGATCTAACCACCAGGATGGACAGATTAATACGTAGAGATATACTTCTACACAGCACTTTTTTAACAGGGGAAGAATTGACAAAAAAATTGAAATCTATTGCCCTACAGGTAAATCACAGTACATCCATATTAACAGAGGCAACACAGCTACAATAATAAAAGTTAAAAGCTATTAATGATGTAGAAAATTCTCACACATATTACATTAAAGATGGGATACAAAATTGCTTAGACAGTGAGACCACAACCACATAAAAGTATATGAAAAACTGGAAACAAATGCCAGAGAAGTGGTTACTTGTGTTTAGAGAGATTATGCAGAAAAGTAAAAACTTTTCTGTGATTTCTCAAACTATATAATGTGCATGTATTATATAACCTGACAAAGGTCAAAATAAGCACACACAAATGGAATGTAAAGCTATTTCTAGGATTTACTCTTCATCTGTTTCTATTATGGCCAATAGGCCTTCAGTTTTTGCTTTTTTATTTTTAATTTCCCACATTAGGATTACTACAACCATCAATATTACTTAGTCTTGCTATCTCTGGTCTCCTCCAATATTCTGTCTGATTACTCAAAAATATTGCCTATCATTACTGAAGACCCCATTCCTGTTGGGACCGCATTGCTATTGCATAACATTTAAATTACTCAGCCTGGTACACCAGCGCTCCATAATTTGGTGTCACTCTGCTTGAGTCATCCAAGTGTATTTCCTGCTACTCCCCAGGATATCCTGCACCCTCCATACAGTGGTCTCGTCACTGTTCCCGCCACCCCATGCCCTTTCTTTGACTCTGTTCCTTCAGTTCTCTTTTCTTCTAACCGCCTACCCCAGGCTCCCTTTATGCCCAGGTCTTATTCATTCTCAGGAGGTTTTTTCTCCTCCACGTTGACCTTCCCCTCAACCCTGGCTGAGCTCTCAGAGCGTGTCCCTTCAATCACAGCCACAAAGTATTCAATGCCTTGCAGTCCTGTGACTCTTTCTTTCATTGGTGGCACGGGGTCTCAGCTGTGGCACATGGATCTTCGATCTTCGTTGTGCCATGAGGGATCTTTAATTGTGAACTCTTAGTTGCAGCATGTAGGATCTAATTCCCCAATCAGGGATCAAACCCATGCCCCCTGAATCGGAAGCATGGAGTCTTAGCCACTGGACTACCAGGGAAGTCCCTCGACCATTTCTTGAGTGCTAATATTGACTTCCCAGCTGTGTCGAAAGCCTTGTGAAGCCAGTCAATGCTAACCACAACCTTCTTGCCTCCTTGTTTCCACACAGTGCTCAGCAGAGGGTGAAGGCCCGGCCAACTGCTGAGGAGGCTGCAATGATGAGCAGGTCCTTGGGCAATGTCTTCTTTTCTCCTTTCCTCTGTTCTTGCCCAGAAGGTTGTCTTCTGAGGAGGGCCTGCCCAATGGCAGAAGCCAATTAGAAGTCCTAGTGGGGTTCCAAGGATAAGATGGTTGGATGGCATCACCAACTTGATGGACATGAGTTTGAGTAAGCTCCAGGAGTTGGTGATGGACAGGGAGGCCTAGCGTGCTGCAGTCCACAGGGTTGCAAAGAGTTGGACATGACTGAGTGATTGAACTGAATTGAACTAGTGGGGTTCCCACCCTGGCTACACTTTAGAAGCATTTGAGAAGCTTTAAAAATATGGCTGAGTAGGACTTCCCTGGTGGTACAGTGGGTAAGAGTCCCCCTGCCAATGCAGGGGACATGGGTTCAATCCCTGGTCTGGGAAGATTCCGCAAGCCGTGGAACGACTAAGCCCTGTACCACAACTACTGAATTCCGAGTGCTCTAGAGGGCATGTTCTGCAACAAAAGAAGTCACTGCAATGAGAAACCCATGCCCCACAATGAACAGTAGCCCCCGATCGCTGCAACTAGAGAAAGCCTGCATAGAGCAAGGAATAAATAAATTCCAGTGCAGCCAAAAATAAATAAGTAAAAAAAAAAATATGGCTGCTTTCCCTCTTCCATCCCCTCCCCCAACCCTGAGGATTAGAATTTAATTGGTCTAAGGTGGGACTAGCATTGATTTCTTTTCTAAAGCTTACTTGCTGATTCTAATGGTTGTGTTGAGTTCTACTTCTTTCAGGCCTCAGTCCTTTTGGTGTGCACCCATTCCAGCACTTTCCTGTCTTATTTCCAGGCAGGAAGTCATCCTAGAACTGGCCAGAGACTCCAAAGAGACTGACTTTAGATAAATCCTTTGGCATCAGTGCTAGCCTTTGTTGTTTTTCAAAGGTGTTTATTTTCAAATTGACAGCTTTCTGACTGCAGCCTGCTCTGAAGGGTGCCTTGCCTGGGTTGCCTTTCAGTCTAGGCACCAAGATAAGCTAATAGTGCTGGTCTGGATAGCAGACCAGCAACAGGGTTAAAATAGGCTCAGAACCCCCCTCCCCCTCCCTGCCTCAAAAAACACTGTTGTTATAGAGTATAGCAAGTCAATTGAAGCAGTTTGTTTCATGTGGAAATACAATACATAATTCGTGTGACAGAGCTAGAACAAAATGTCAAATAGAATACATATGTACAAAGAGGAAAATCTCAACCATTATAAAAATCCTACTAATGTATTAGTACATACCTCTCTTATTTATATGATAGTAACAAAACAATAGCAGCAGTAACTAATTAATTTTGAACACCAACTATGCACCCACTCTAAAGGTTTTATTTGGATTATTTTGTTTAATCTCACAGCTGTACAAGACAGGTACTTTTATTACCCTCATTTTAGAGATGAGGCAACTGAGGAACTGAATTACTAAAGAATTTGCTAGCTGGGAAATGGTAGAGCCAGGATTAGAAAATTTTCCGAAGCTTTTGTTCTTAACTTTGTAGGACTAATTCTTATTTCAATGAAAAATGAGGGGTTTTTTTTCTTCTCTTTTTTAAACCATCCAAGGTTTCTCAAATATCTTAATACACATTAAATACCTTCCATTATTTTTACTTTCATGATTTTTCCATGGAAATGCTTCCAAAATGTACTATACACATCACTTGATTCCTTAGCTAGAGGACACTGAACACAATTTAACCTTTTCTTAAAGACTCCAAGCTACAGGACTTCCTTGTAGCTCAGATGGTAAAGAATACACCTGCAATGCAGGAGACCTGGGTTCAATTCTTGGCTCAGGAAGATCCTCTGGAGAAGGAAATGGCAACCCACTCCAGTATTCTTGCCTGGAGAATCCCATGGACACAGGAACCTGGCAGACTACAGTCCGTAGGGTCGCAAAGAGTCAGACATGACTGAGCGACTAATACTACTACTGAAGACTCCATGTGAGGGTCCTAGACTCCATCTAAGGAAGCTAGATGCAACCTGATTCTCTCAGGCTTTTGAGGTTTACAGAGTTAGGTCACTCAGACCCCGGGGCTGGACAATTACTGCAGCCACTTCTCCCTCGGCCCCAGTACAGGTACCTGCTCCCGGACCCCGCTGAGGTGTCAGCCCCAGACAGCTGTGCTCTGTTCTCTGCAGGCCTTGCAACTCTTCAGACACCGCTGATGAAAGGGACTCAACTCCTGTCCTAAAGCAGCCATGCTCTAGGCTGGCCAGCATCTCAAAATGAACCGATGGGAAAAGTTTAGCAAAAACTGGATTGTGGTTCAGATCTCTACCTCCGGGGGATTTGATCTGGGAATTACTGGCCAGCAGTGGGAGCTAAAAAGATGTACAGAGGGAACCGATTGGGTAGAATAAACCAAAGTTCCGAGGAAGCAATTGTGATGCTAAGCTGTGAGATAGAAAAGATTTGGAGAGCAGAAGTCACTGATTCGACACCTTCATCAGGAGGGGAACGGGCTATGCAAATGAGGGGAGAGGGCGTGGCGAAGGTAGCAGGGCGTGGCGAAGATTTGGGTGACTGCCTAGTTCACGCCCCACCCTAGGACCTTTGAATTCTAAACGTGAAGCCTCCACGCTGGCCAAACGGACTGAGTCTGCAGGTTGCCATAGGTCAAGAGCCGGCAGTTTACAAATTCCAAAAGAGGGGTTGAGGAAATGGGTTGGGGCGAAGCAGAGAAGCTGCGAGCCACTGCCTAGCGCAGCCAGAGGGGAGAACTGAGCCCGTAGATAATTGATCATAGAGGTGACGATGTGCGAACTCTGATGCCGAAGTCCTGGGGTAACCTTGGATTCTCCATGGAGTCCTGGTTCCAGTCTTCCTGAGGTCTGGCTCCGCTGCAGCGCCTGTTCTTCCAAAGGCTTGGTGATTTGGCCTTTGGTAGTTCCCACGAGGCCCTGTGGGGTTGAGATTCTTGTTTTCTTCATTCCTTACAACTCCTTCCCCTAATATTAGATGTAACTTGAGCTGTTCCTCGGAACTAGAAGGGCCTGACGAAAACATGCTACACGCCCCAGATTGCTCTTTTTATTTTTATTTTTTTCTTCTTTGGAATTATTGTTCTCCTATTTATAGTTTTTCTATTTCCTCCTTTGCTGCTATGCTGTCAACTGTCACTTTTTATTGCCTTAGCATGCTTGCTTCTACTGGTCATTCTCTCTTGGTTTTTAAGGCTACTGGTAGACTTGGACGTGAGATTTGGATTGGTGGGATTAAAAGAAATTTAAAGTAAACAGACAATTAAAGAAGGGCGAGTGTTATAGTAAGCAAATTATCTTAATAAAGCTGCTGTAAGAAATTAAATAAGCAATCAAAGACTCTTAGTGTCTTGTGAGCTTTAGTCCATAGTATTTTGGAAGTGTAATTTGACTGTTCAAATGACTTTCTTGTTTATCTTTTGACTTTGGGCTCTAGTCCAATCATTGAAGGCTTAGTAAAGTATCCCTTGATTCTCAGAAACCAAAACACACTGGAGACAGCACAAGAAAAGAAAGGAGATTTATTTTAAGACATTATTCAGAACCCAGCTGAAGGAAGCATGGTCAGAGATCTCTCTCATTCTCCCCTCCCTCTAGCTGCTCAGTTCCCTAACGTCTCTGTCCTTGTTTCATGGCTGTTCCATCTTCCTCTCTGCAGATGAGTGATTCTGTTTCTCTCTGAAGTTTTTAGTTTCTTTTCCTTCATAACACTGGCTTTGGGCTGCCATGCTGTCGATTTTGGCAACAACTCTTCATGACCTCGCGTCTTTAGTGCCAGCACCCTCCAGTTCAGCCTTTCCATCTCTGAAAATATGATTGACTCACTTTGGGCCAAGAATCTGTCCCTGGCCAAATTAAGTGGTCAGAGAGCAGGGCAGGATGGCTCCTCTTCACGGAAGCCTTTTCTAATCTGCAGGCAACAGGCTGAGGAGACTTTGGCAGGGGAAAGTGACTGGCATTTCAGTCTGAGCACAATTTCTATATTTCAAAACTCTGATAGGTGATGTGTTATTACATATTTACATTTCTCCTTCTTTGTTATTTTCCATTCAGTGCTTAGAGTCCTGTGAATAATAAACAAATTATTTATTGATGATGATATTACCTATCACCATCTGGATTTAGATGATCTAGCCTAGTCAAGAGTCGCTATCTTGGTTTTCCTGCATGTATAAATACAAAGTACATTAAAGGCAGTTCTTTCCTTCAGGGCTTTCCTGTCATCTGTTATGATCCTAGTACTCTTTGTAAAACTTTAGTTCATGCTAAACCAAACATAATGAAAATTTAACTTTTAACAACATAGCTAAAATTATTGTTGATGTTTCAGTGAAAAACCACTTTAAACTCCACACTGCATCCACATGGAGATGTTTTCCTGACCCAAAAGTAGGGATGATTTGACAATTTGACTAAAATCACTACTTTTGAAACCATGTATCCTTCTTTTCACAGAAGTATGAAATGATTGTGAGTCAGTCATGGGTGGAAGAGTTTATTATTAGTTTTTCAAAAGATGCCAAGTGTTGCAGGAAATTTTTCTCTTAGACCAAGATGAGAACAATTTCATTTTAAAAACAATCAAATGCAAATTAAACATTCCTCCAGTTTTAGTCTAGCATTTGAAATGCTACTAAACAGGTTTCAAACGTTTTCTTATGCATGACTGAACTTAACACTCAAAATAACATTCTGAGGTTGGTAGTATCATTTTGCAACTGGAAAACAGGCTCAGGGACGTTAGAGAACTTGTCCAAAATCACAGTACTACGTGCTCCAGATACGGACTGGTCATTTTACTCCAAATCTTGTGGGTTTTGAATGGCACTTTGCTCTTCCTTTATTTTCTCCCTAAGAATTTGGGGGGAGGGAGTTGGCATCAGTTAAGTGCTGTATCTGGGCTTCCCTGGTGGCTCAGTTGGTAAAGAATCTGCCTGCAATGCAGGAGACCCAAGTTTGATCCCTAGGTCAGGAAGATCCCCTGGAGAGGAAATGGCAACCAGTTCTAGTATTCTTGCCTGGGAAATCCCACGGACAGAGGAGCCTGGTGGGGTTGCAAGAGTTGGACATGACTTAGCAACTAAGCCACCACCAAGTGCTGTATCTAAGTGTCTCAAAATCCACAAATTCTCTGTATAATGCAGATTTGTTTTTCTAATTAAGGCCCATGAACTTGATGACATAACAAAGTACCACCTAATTACTTATGATAAATGGAAAGCAATAGACTGAAGATTAATACTGCCTATGACAATGTTTGACCCTGTCCCTCACAGTTGAAATCACATATGCTATTTCATTCAGTGAATCCCTTTCTAAATCTTTTTAATTTTGTCAGAGATGTAACCCTAATTCTTGAGATGAAAATAAAATGTAAATCTCTAATGAAACCATTCTGGAAGGAATAACTCTTAATGCTATCTCAAGAAAAAATTAGTCCCAAGTGAGACTGTGACTGTGTGGTTAGGATGCTAGCCTACTTAAAAGTAGAAAGGTTTTTAAGGAGATATATCCTTTTGCTACTTACATTTACTTTCTTTTTTTTTTTGGCTGAGCTTGTTCTCCGTTGCTGCTCAAGGGCTTTCTCTAGTTGCAATGAGGCAGGGCTACCTTTTGTCACAGTGCTTGGGCTTCTCATTGTGGTGGCTTCTCTTGTTGCAGAGGACAGGCTCTAGGCACGTGGGCTTTATGAGTTTCGGAGCATAGACTCAGCCATTGTGGCACAGGGCCTTAGCTGCCCTGTGGCATGTAGGATCTTCCCAGACCAGGGATTGAACCATGTCCCATGCATTGACAGGCAGATTCTTAACCACTGGACCACCAGGGAAGTCCTTATATTTAAACTGATCCTACTAACTACCCAAAGTGTTATTCAATTCTTAGGGTAGGCAAAACTTAGCAAACCTTGCTTAGCAGTTCAAGTTACTTAGCAGTTCAAGTTGAACTTAGCAGTCCAAGTTGCTTAGTCCCTAAGTCACGTCTGACTCTTTGCAACCCCTTGGACTGTGTAGCCTTCCAGGCTCCTCTGTTGATGGGATTTCCCAGGCAAGAATACTGGAGTTGGTTGCCATTCCCTTCACCGGAGGATAGATATAGGGAAATAATGCAACAATTTAGCCTTTTTTTCTTTTGGCTTCACTGGGTCTTCCTTGCGGCATGACGGTTTTCTCTAGTTGCTACTCTTCCTTGTGGTGCACGGGCTTCTCACTGCGGTGGCTTCTCTTGTTGGTGAGCACGGGCTCTAGAGTTTGGGTTCAGTAGTTGTTGCATACGGGCTAGGGCCACTTAGTGGCCCCAGGACATGTGGAATCTTCTCAGACCAAGGATGGAACTCATATCCCTTGCATTGGCAGGCGGATTCCCAACTGCTGGACAACCAGGGAAGTCCCAGCAATTTAGCTTTTAAAAATGGTCTGTGCTTCAGATTTTTCATGAATTTAGATTTGCTTTTCCTTCTACTAAGTCTAAAATGAGCAAGATCTTGTGGTGTTAATTATTATCCAAAGGCAGATATTAGATTGGAATTTAGGTCCTCTGAGTGCACTGTTCACTAAATTTTATTGGTTAATACAACATTCAGTGTTTATAACAAGATTCTCAAGACTCTGCGAGGCAGAGGAATTCTAGTAGTTATGGTCTAAAGAGCACAAATAAGAAATAATCCACATGGAGAAAAATATTAAGAAACTGCCAACACGTAAGTTATTTCTATTTTTGATTCTTACTTCTTTATGTTGACTGTATTCCTATTCTCTTTGCTTAAAGGCACTTAGGATCACTTTGGGAAGAAAAATCACTGAGACATTTAGGAACATTTTAGGGGAAAGGAAAGCAAGTGTAACTGATAGAAAAAAAAAATGAAAGTGTGAGAGTTGCAGTTCAGAACAGAGAGGAAAATTCAGACACAAACACAGAGGAACAGCAGCGTTAGACTTCTGTTAAAAGTAAAAGGATCAAGGTGGGTGTTAGGAAGAAATGAGAAAAGTTATTTAAAGAAGACCACAAGATTTGAGAACTGTGACTATAAAGAGAAGTAGATAGTCCCCTTTTCATATATGAGTTTGTGAAAATATGAATTAGAGTAAACTGTGCGAATGCAAATTAATAGACTTATATATTTGAAGGGAGGATTTTATTTCTCTCTCTCTCTGTGTGGATATAATCTTTGATAATATGACTCTAGCATTTTACTCATATTCTCAATTTTGCATTTTTCCATCACAACTTGATAAAAATTAATCAGTTGAAGTCTAAAAAGCAGTGGAGGAGAATGAAGATTTGCTCCTTTCTGTCATAACTATATTAAGTTTATAACACTAATGCTTCTTATTCCTATCATCAATACTTTTATCTATATTTTATACTCTTTTAGTAAAATAAAGGTAAAATGCAGTGAACAGTTAAATTTGTCCAAACAGTGTAAGGCAGACAGTGGCCTACCAGCCCACTTCCCCTGTCAACCTCAAATGATCATTTAGCTGGAACACAAAGGATCCAAGTTCAGCACATGGAGGAATCTTAGAAGCATCAGCCAATATATGACTGTGAATTGAAGTCAGGAAAGTCAAGTACATGGAAGGCCTAATGTGGAAAGTATTTTTTCAGAAATATTTGCAACATATTGGATGTATATTAATGAGAAAAACAAGAGGTCAGGTAGAAGTATCTTTTTTAAGATAAAGGGAAAATACAGTAGAAATTTAGCTATCCTGAGAAGGTGAATGTTTTAGTAAAGGTTCAAAGGATTTTATGCATTTTGGTCATCATCTCCATCAGGGTACTTAGCACTTGCCTTGAACTTGGGGAAATCCTGAGTGACCCCAGCCAAGTATTTTCCATTCAGTGGGATTCATTTTCCACACCTGATAAATGGGGAAATTATTCCTTACTGCATTGATGTAAAGATCTCTAGGAAAAAT